AAGTCAATTCACCTAGGACCCTCCAGACTTGAGTGCTTTAGACGCACTGTCGGTCTGAGCTGGAAGGGCTGCCGACTGAGGGTGAGACTGACTCGATCTCTATCTGGGATGGGGTGGCCATACCCTCAATGGCTTTAGCGTGACCTTCGGAGCAGGCCTCGGGTTTGTGGGATCCGATTCCATGGGTGGCATACTCTAGACCGCTGCTAGGACAGTGAGCAGAGGTTGAACGTCTAAGTCGCTGAATTCAACGCACAACCTACTGACAAGGGTGGCGTGGGCGTCAGTGGCCAAGCGTGTCTCACCTGACAGCCAGTTTGCGTCGGCTTTGTCAGTCGGTCGTGTAACTTTTAAAATATGCTCGCTTGCAGTTTAGTGCTCTCTTAGTTGAACGCGCGCAGGCTTCATTCACACGGAAACGTTGGTCACATGATTCCTAGTATGGCAAAGGCTTATGTGCGTTCGAGGTGCAAACGGATTCACCTCACGTCAACCACTGAGGCTAACTGAGTCGGCTCGGCCGCTGGAACATGTGGAAAGAAAATGAAGTTGGTATAATTCGGATTTCGCTCATGGGTTCTCACGTAAACAATCAATAGTCTTATACCATGATGTCGTAGCTTATTTTCCAACCTGAGGATATTCGAACTAACCTGGCTGAAGTTCTCTGATTTATGGTCCGTCTGAAAGTGGGACCTAGATTGTGTGACACAAGTAAATGGGCAACTTCACCCTGTTAGGTACCGCGACCTGACCGATCTCTGGCCTCTTTGACTTCGTCTCGCAACCGGAAGACGGATGCTGTAAGGCTAGAAGGAGGTAGTTCCGGCAAAATTCCTTCTCTGTGCAAACAAACTAACATTAATGCAGCCAATGCGCTCACTTCGTGGTAGCAATTGATCTTGCTGGCTAAAACAGTGCAACTGTCGTGTTTTTACCGCTTAGCAAACCGTAATGATATTAATTGAGACCAAAACAGGGGCATATTGACTCACAGTGTGTGGTACGCGGGTTGTGATGCGCCCTCACATATTGGGATGCATGCGTTAGATGTAGGCCTATGCCGCGGCAGTTAAACTCATCCCAATCGGCTTGATCCAGAAGTTACTGGCAAGAACACCTGAGGGATGTGCAAGTCTTGATTTCCTAACTTTAAATAGCGGAACACTCTTCAAGACACCCTAACTTTTGGTTTCCAACTGAAGAGCCAACGGCGTCCTTCTCCTGAGAGTTAGAATGTTTTGGTTCTTTACTTCAATCCTTATGGTCGTTGTCGGAGTGGTAGGGTCGACCACGCGAAAGTCTCCCACATCAGAAGTCAGGGAAGACGGATTTGGTTCGCCGGGTTGTTTACAAGGGGCTCTCTAAGCAGCTGCCTGCTCGGGCAGGTTGTGTCATTCAGTGCCTGCTCGTGTGTGCCCTAGCTCTGCATGCTCATAGGCACCCCTTTCGCCCGCAGCCAATCGGTGAATGGCGGATGTTGATTAGCTGATGTCAAGACGCCGGCGGCCTTGGCAGCGAATCGATCAATAGCGTGAGGCAGACGAGGTACGACAAAGCCAAACGTGGGAGCAGACTGGCGCACGCTCATCGGATCTAGACTATATGTTCTTATTGCTCGGTTTCTCGACTCCTTTTTGCCGCTTTAACACAGAGTACGTTGAAGTCTGCTTCACTGTTGACGAGTTCACACTCAGAAACACCATTCCGGTTTATCCAGGACAGTGACCACCCTCGCTGTTCGCGACGAATCGCAGGTCGTGGCTGGGAGCCGCACGACTATCAGCATCCCAGGATTCATCTCAACCACCTCTTTTGTCGTTTTCCACTAGTGCATCTGACCACTCAGCAGTCTATAAATCCCTTTGGCTTCAGTGATCAGCCTCTCGTTAGCGCTTGGCTCTGGAGTTTTTGGTGCTCGCTGATGTTAGGGTATTTATAAGTACCTTCCTTACCTAACAAATCTAACCTGTGAACTTTCCTAAATGCAAGGTAAGAATTTAAACTAGTAGGAAGTCAGTGCCCTAAAGAAAATTGCCCGGGTGACATGTCTTCCCGTACATTAGAACGGTATCACATGCAAAGATGGAAGTGACGAGTTAAGCATTCACCCACGCAAAAGCGGATACGACATCTACTGGTGGCATGCGGATAGTCAAGTCTGTTCGCGAACCGAAGTTGTTGTTTGTCATTTAGGCGTAACCACCCCAGGACACACAACAGTTGCAACATACCGACAAAATTACTCGCTCTGGCTGCGCCCTGGTTGTTGCGGAACGGTTGCAGTGCACGTTAACATCCTTCCAACATTATGGGTCATTATAAATATCGGTACAAAGGGAATGCCGGCTAAACTGCGCCTACAAAGTGCAGGGGTTTTCGGGCCCGAGACCGTGTTCAACAGTGTAGTAAACCAGCTACTAAACGCCCTATAAGTTACTGGCCTTGGATAGATCTTATCTGACCGACTAGATCGGCACTGATCGGCGACTACAATTACAGATAAGGTAGAAGAGATACTTAAATCGGTGAAATAGTCTGTTTTTTTTTTCACGAGGTAAAAAAATTGCGAAAGGCAGTGCCACCTGTGCATGACGTTAGGGGAACCTCGACCCATTGGACGGAAAGTTCGGTATAGGGAGCACTATAGAATAGCCTGGTTACCACAGCACTCAACTAAAAATGAAATGAGGTGAAACAAAAAAGCCAAACAGGGAAGCATAGATGATCACCGGTGATCGGTTTTAGAAGCAGGCTTAGTTCGAACAACCGCGGCTCATAGAAATAAACTGCCGACCTTGCCACAACCGATGTTGCTCGAGGATCAACACGCAAAGTAAGCCGTGGTTGGTTGAGACCTATCGGTAGGTTATACCCTACAAGCTCAACCGGTTTATCTTGCAAATACGACGAAGGTGTAGCATCGTCAGTGGTCTACATAAGTACCCAGGTGAAGTGAGTAACTTTAGTGACAAGAGAAAACCAGAAACGATGTCAAGTACAGAGGTGAAGGGGGACAGTCGTGGAAGGAATGCGGGGAAATGGAGGGGTTCAGGTCGGACGATTGTACATGTTGGCCTGCAGAACAGTCTGCAGCGCAGGTAAGATTAGACGAGCTTCTTGGCTAGGAAGAAGGAACGAAGATTGCGCATTTGGAAAATGCCAGTAAATATCAGAAGGAGGATTTGAGCTATGCTCCACCAGGTTACGCGATTGTAGATGCTTTCACTGAGACGTCTGAAATACTCCTCACGAACCTGTTTAAATAAAAAAATGAGACTTGTGCAACCTCAAATTTTGTAGCAAGCTTTAAGGGACAACTAGTATTTTTGGCCCACTATTTGCAAAAGGTTCTGATGGTATTTAATACAGTGTTCTGTCCAATCTCAAAAGCAAACTGGAAAGTAGTAATGACTGATGCTAGAGAAGGAACCGGAAAGATCTGTAGAATAAGGAAAATGGACAAAGAAGCCGGTCGAAGCAATCGTTGACTGTTTGCCGAAACCCGTAGAGCCACATTTGCTTACAATTAAACGATATTCATCGTTAAACTGTCACTAGTTACATATTTTTTGAGAAGACGACTCGATCACTGGGACAATACTTTTATCCCCTGAAGTTTCGACATCCGTCGCGGATCCACCATCAGAGACATTAGCAGAAAACGGTAGCAGACCCGTTTCTGCTACCGTTTTCTGCTAATGTCTCTGATGATGATTCCGCGACGGATGTCGAAACTTCAGGCGATAAAAGTATTGTCCCAGCGATCGAGTCTTCTTCTCAATTACTTTCTGGGACTCGTACGCTTGCTTGTATCGGCTATATATTTTTATTTAGCTGATTTAGCTGAAAATGGCCATCTCAAGTTCGCCAACTTGTAGCTAAGAGGTGTTTCTTAAAATTGCAAGTACCTCTACTTTTTCAGTACTCTAAAATTGCTTATGGTGTGTACTTTGTTGCTTTTGTTCTTCAGCGAAGACGTAAACCTAGCCCTGGTCGTTGGTTCGATTTTCCTCGTGTTGAGGTCTTCTGTGCGCCACACTAACTAATAATAACTGAACTCTTGCCATTTTGATGCTTCCATTCATATCGAAAAATGTCTGTTAACTCTTGGCTTTGGATGTATATTCGATGTGGAATGCTTAACATCGACTTAATACTTTTGGAATGCCAGGCTTATGGAAAAACTTCCCTGTACAGTCCACGAACAGGGCAAATAAGTCTCAAGACGTTTTTTCAGTCTATAGGTAAATGGACTTACTCTCTGAAAATCTTGATCCTTAGACAGCATGGTAACTTGGTCCAGAAGTTGACGAACTCGGAGCTGAATGTCATTCAATTTTTCTTTGGTGGCGATTTCCTTGTAATTGAGAGCATGATCACCGACTGCCAACTCCAGGCTTACACGCTAGATTTTACAGATTAAAAATGAAGACAGCATACCAGAATTTGCTTCCCCACCCAGGAACTTGAATTGGATGACAAACAAATTTTGTGGTCACCAGCTATTTGAGATGTGAAGGTGAATCGTCCTTCGGATGCGTACACCTAAAATTAGAATTAAGATCAATCAAAATGACGGACAAAAACAGGCCAAAAATCGTCATGCGTTGGGCTGAGGTGAAAGTGGACGGGGTTGTCCTGTGATTATTTGATAACGTTAAACCTCGCAACTTCTTCGAACTTTGAAGAGAATCGCAAGGAAGAGGCAGCTTTGATGGGCATCGCCTCGCTTATGACTGGTTCAATTAGTTCTGATTTTTGAAATTCCATACTAACCACTCACAGTACTCATAGTCGAAACTAATGATAAGAGGTGACCTATTTACCTAATAAAATGCTAAATAAGTTCAATGGTCCCGACAGCGCCCACAGGTGGGTTGGAAATGACTAAATTAACAGATAGTGCATTTTCTATTTCCAAAAAGGGTCAAGTAACTCTTTAAATCAACACACAGAACCATTCGCAAAAAGAATTCCAGTGCAGTCGCAGAATACAAAGCACATTGCCGTGTCTTTCGTGTCAAAATCCCACATCCAATACCCGTTTAATGATGATCGGATGAATTGCGTGCCCTACCCTTTACATCTTCAACATTCTCCTGGGATAATCTGAGGGGAAAATAATCTACCAAGCATCAATATAGAGCCGGAGCGCTCCCTGCAGAATTATAGTGAAGTTAAGCAAAGGAACAAATGATATCACTATCATAAATTAATTCTTAGACTGTGTCTGCGAGGAAATTAAGTCAGTCCCGTGGCACAACATGATATATTCCGTAACCAGTGCAACTCGATTTTCCGAAAACGTTCTTTCGTTTTAACATACCATCTCGGAACACAAAAAATATAATAAACGGATAGATAAACAACAAGTAATTAGTACAAGCTTTAGAAGGTATGTTTAAAGCAAAGTCGAAAGCGCGTCGATATATGTATTTCTATGCGTTAGCGGTCCTTCCTTCATAGCGAAATTTGGCGCCTAATTTTAGGCACTGTGCGCTTAAAATTGCGTCGGCTCACGTCATAGACTTAACTCGTGAAGCCTGCAGTTTATTGATAGATCTGCCGACGTGTCCTCCTAGGCACAGCCTCCTCGTGGATGGAACGGAGGCGGAACATGCCTGGGTTTACGAACTGCGGGAACTACTCGAGAGGTGGGAGTGTTGGCTGCTTTGTCCGACTTGGACAAACTGACGCAAGATCTTGACTGCTGATGGACACAGAGCGCATCGGTTTTTCTATCAGAGTTATTAAGATACCTTGGTACACGTCAATATGTACGTTTAGTCGCCAAACGAAATTCATGCCGATTTTTTGCATGCTCATAATTAGCAAAAAAATAAAGAGTATACAGAGCTCAACATATAGATTTCAACCTGCACGGTAAAGCCCGCAAATAAAGTCTTAGTCGACATAAGCGCACCCTCAAATAAGAACGCAAAAGTTAAGGTGTTAGTAGTCCCATAAAATCAAGAGCTCACCCTAGACAGCATAATATTGGACTCGGGATCGTAAACTGTAACGTGGATCCCTATAACATGGCTTGGAACGAATTCTTTGTCCTGAAGCAAGGCAACCTTATACTTTCCTTTAAACAGAGATTAGGGCAAAACAAAAGTCTACCAGCGACTAAGGTATCTTCGGGGATTTCCTCCAGGAAACATTTGACGTCCGTATCTTTGATGTGAAAGTAAAATGCCGAACAAAAGTCAATGCATATAACAAACAAAAGGCCCAGAACCGTGGTTCTATCAAAGAGACGCATAGCTGACGTGTATATTGTCTCTGGATTGTGAATGTTGCACCTTTCTAAATAACGTTTTAAACAAGAGCTTTATATTTAAAACTATACCAGTTTGGGTTACTGCCGTGCAAATTAGATTTTTCGCGGTTTGGA